ATTCTAGCTGTTGACTGGGGAGTCTCTCTTTGTTCAGCATTTATGCAGCTGGTAGGGTGCATGCCAGTGCTCAGAAGCTGGGATTTTGATCCCAAACCAGTGCCAATGTATTTGGGGGTGACTTTTCCCCATCTTCTTGTTTAGCAATTTAAAATCTTAAATAATTGGATTTCCTTCTGATTTCGTTTTCTAGAAGGTAGAAAACAGAATTGTACTTACTTTCATGGATTTGTAATCAGGATGAAAAAAAGGAAACAAGTTGGGGTGGTATTTTCTCAGCACTGACATTCTTTTTGCTCTATTGTTTTTCATAGCACTTCTGACCTTTGAATTTCCTATATATCTTATTTATTTTGATTTTTTATCTGTGTATAAAATCCCACCAGAATGTGTTCTCCATGAAGACAGAATTTTTTCTCTTTACAGTTGCTATTATTTGTCCATATAAACCTGTGCCTGGTGCCCAGTAGGTACCCAAGAAGCATTTGTTGATTGAATTAATTAATCCTTTCTCTAGAAGTAGCTATTCTTACCAACCCTAGAGTCCCCGAATTTGTTCCAAATATTGAAGGACAGAAGTTGAGCTGTAATATCATCAATTTTCAAATAAAAACCCTAGAAATTGCCATCATAATTCAGACTATGGAAATATTTTGATGTGGTGATTGTGATATCAGGGCTGGCTGTTCTTGACATTTGCCTGAAATATTGGGGATCATTCATTCATTCATTCAACCAGACAAGTGGAGTCAATCTTTTATCAATAATAAGCTCTGGGGATAAAAGACCAAACAGGACATATAGGTCCATGCCCTCATAAATCTTGTCATCCATAACTAGATCAACATTTTTGGGGGAAAATATTTTAGCCTGTTCCAACCCTGTGAAGAAGCCTCCATCAGCTTTACTGCTTTCTTGGTAATATAATTTTGCATCCAGTGCCTCGAGTGAGTTCTTCAAGGAGAAGCCTGTTGTCCCTTCTTTAGGCCTGGGCAATGGGGTTGAGCTCCTTGTCAGGGCTGGTCCCTGGTGCTGCTTGTGGTTCACTGTGTGACAATCATGTGCCCCTTTCCTTACAGGAAAACTCCTTCTTGTACTGGGGTTAGTGATACTGCATGAATCTGAGAGAAATACACTTTAGAGGTTTATGTGATGGTTATGTCCAATCATGTAACAGTTATGTCCAGTGTGATGCTGTTGATGGTGCCCTTACCTGAGCAGATGTGGCAAGCCTGGGACCCCATGCTTGAGGAAATGCAGAGTAGTCAGGAACATACCCAGGTAAGGGCACTCAAAACTGCTTCACAGGAGGGACAGTTAAAAAAACTGGGGATGTTTATTTTAGAGAAGACTCAGAAGGACCATAAGTACCATCTTCAAAGGATGAAAGAGCTCTTTGTGTAGGAGAAGCATCAGACCATTCTGGAGCTTGAGGTCCTGGAACAAGGATGACTGGCTGAGAAGACTTCCTATAGTCAGGGGTCCTCAAAGATGCCGCCTGGGGTGTTGCTTGTGAGCCTCGCTGCCTGATCCTTGGGGTGAGTGCAGTGAGGTCAGATCACTATTGGAGCCAGCCTAGGTCACGGTAAACACACATGCTGATGAAGTGGGAGAAAAAAATGGCAGCTTTAGCTTGGGACCCTCTTCTGTGACTTTATTGTTTTGCCCTCTTTCAGATATGTTCTCATACCTATTGACCCAACAATTCAGATTCTGGGAGGCTGTGCTATAGAAATAAAGACACAAGCACTCAATCATATATCCATAATTATATAGTGTATAAATATATATCTTTGTGCATATGCCCTTGTACAAATATGTAAATAAATATACATTTATTCTTTTATAAATATATGTATATATATATATATATTTATGTAGTTTGAATTGCAAAAATATGGAAATAACCTGAATGATGATAAAAGAAGAGTGGAAGTAGTGGAGTAAATTCTGGTTCAGTCATAGTACGAGTTATTATGCAGTAAGTATAGATCTTTACCATCCTAGAGGGGTGGGCAGAATATAGAATTAAGTGAGAAAAGCAAGAGAAACATCTGTAGTATGATCTTGTTTTGCAAGAGTAAATGATAAAAAAAATCTTTCACCAGTCAAGATGGCTATCATAAAGCAACAAACAACAAATGTTGGAGAGGTTGTAGGGAAAACGGGACCTTAGTTCACTGTTGGTGGGATTGTAGACTGGTACAACCACTATGGAAAACAGTATGGAATTTTCTTAGAAAAATAAAAATTGACCTGCCTTTTTACCCAGCAATTCCACTGCTAGGATTATATCCTAAGAACCCTAAAACACCAATTTCAAAGAACCTATGCACCACAATGTTCATAGCAGCACAATTTACAATAGCCAATAGTTGGAAGCAATCTAGGTCCATCAGTAAATGAATGGATCAAAAAATTGTGGTACATTTACACAATGGAATACTATGCAGCAGAAAGAAAGAAGGAGCTCCTACCCTTTACAACAGCATGGATGGAACTGGAAAGCATCATGCTGAGTGAAATAAGCCAGGCGTTGGAAGACAAATACCATATGATCTCATCTTTAACAGAAAGCTAAACAACAAAACAAACAAGCAAGCAAAATATAACCAAAGACACTGAAATAGAGAACAGGGGGACAGGGACCAGAGTGGAGAGGGGAGGGAATTTAAGGGGAAAAAAGGGGAGGGATTTAGAGGAACAAGTATAAAGGACACAGGGACAATAACTAAGGGGGGGTGGAAATGGGAGGGAGGTGGGGAGCATGGGGCGGGGTGGGCTGGGATGGGAGAAATAGACAGAAAACTGTACTTAAAAAATAAATTAAATAAAAAATCTCTCACATATGTAAACATGTTGGCATGTATTTGGACAAAGATGTAAAGGGGTTGCAAGAATATAGACAAAGTCATTAATAGTGGTGGTAAGTTTGAGGTGGGGTGGGGACCTGAGGTGCTGATGGGGAGAAAATAGAAACAAAGTGAAGGAAAGTGAAAGGGAATTGGCCTTTCTCTGTCTTTCTCATCCCCCCTCCCCCACTCCCCCTTCCTCTCCATCTGTCTAGCTGCCTTCATTGGTTGTGCTTAAACATGTGTAATTTTGAGAACTTTAATAAAAACGAAGGAAAAAACTTTCTTATGTCATTTCTGTTTTTTGCTCCATTGTTCTTCTCTTACAAATTCTCTTCAACCTTTCTATTCAGGACAATCCTTGGGTTTTATAGTAAAATACTCATTAGTTTTAATTCTTTAAAGGTGATGGTTTAAACAATTTAAAGAAACCTGGGGAACATGTAAAGATAAAAGATTGCGAGGCAAAACTGAACTTCTAGGTGTCATGAAAGATTTAAGAATCACTTGTATTTTACTCCACGTTTTGTTGCTGTATAGGAGGTGTCCATTTTCCCCTTGTGTTCCAGGAAAATGTTTCCTTTCTTAAATCTAGGGAACGTAGGGTTGGGTTAGGAGCACCCAAATCAGCTAAGAAGTTCACTAGCTTTTGGTGGGGAAGCAGAGCATTGAATTGAGAGCTCTGACGTATGTGTGCATGGGTATGTTTATTTAATCAGTTTTTCTCTGCTGAGATAGCCAACAACGTAATGCTATTTCCCTGTGACCTGGATGCTTTTCTTTCAAATTATTTTTAAGAGTTGCTTTCCTTATTAAATTACCCTCATTATACATTCATATTTCATACTGATAGTCCTTTTTACATAAAGAATTGGTCTGCATACAGAATAGCCCCAGACATTGTAGAGCTGGCTGGTGATTTAACCCCTGCTTATAATGAAAAGAGATCTGGGGAAGAGGTTTGGGGAAGAGTAGGGTGCTGTTTCAAAGGTGGGGACTCAGAGCTGATCCCAAGTGGCCATACTGATACAAAGGTGAGAAGTGGGTGGGTATGTTAGGTCTGTAGAGAGAGTGATACTAACCATCATGTTTTTGATTGTAAAATGCTCATTTTATACGTTACTTGAAGTCTGCATGAATTTTACTGTGCTTGTGTGCATTTTTAGGTTAATATTACAAGTCAACAGTGGTCTTATAATTAGAAGTATCAGAAATCCTGTAGAATCCTTTTAGCTAGTCATTAAGTTCTGGATATTTAATGTAATTACAACATCCCAGAATCATGGATCTCAACCACAGTTTCAGTCTGCATAATATTATCTTTTTTTTTAAACCTCACCCAAGGATATATTTCTTGATTCTAGACAGAGGAAGGGAGATAGGGAGAAACATTGATTGGTTGTCTCCTGAATGCGCCCCAACAGGGGTTGAACCTGAAACCTAGGCAGGTGCCCTGACCAGGAACTGAACCCATGATCTTACAGTTTGTGGGACAGCACTCCAACCAACTGAGCCACATTGGCCAGGGCTGCATAGAGCCATCTTGATTTAGGCAAATCAGCAACTTATAAAAATATTTATTTTCATACAAGTGACTGACTCACAGATAGATAACACTAAAATACTACAAAAAATATACAAAGTAGGATCTATGCATGGCTGACTCCATTTTAAAAATCTCAAATTTAGTTCATGGCACCATTGCTTTGGGAAAGCTAGTCATGTGCAGTGACATTTTTTCCACGTCACGGGCTAAAGGATATTGTATTAGGCCCAAAACCTAAGTGGTGCTTATGCCCAGTTTGTCATAATGGGGTGGGAAGACTCGCAAGAGAGACTGCTCCTTGAAGCTGTGACCCAGAGAGAATGGAGGAGTGAGGGGAGCTGTGACGTGGAAAGATGGGCTGCCGGACTGGATCTCCTGTATCCTGCCTGCATTTGGCTTGGGTGTCCTGTCGAGAGTTTTGAGTTTTGTTGCCACAGTGGCTTTGCTTTCTTGGGCATAATACCTGCTTCATCCAGAAAAATCTCCCTCTCCCCTCCCCCCACCACAAGCCAGGCTGTAAGGCTTCACAGCTGACTTTCCTGTGTATGTTTGAGTCCATGGTTTTGCTGCTTTTCTCATGCCTTTTCTTTATGACGTTTCAGCTCATCCACCATACACCATGTGCTTTAGAGTGAAATTCTACCCACACGAACCCCTGAAGATTAAAGAAGAGCTCACAAGGTATCTTTTGTTTGTTTTATATTTAACGTGCCCCCTTAACCAGCTAGGGCCTCCGAGTCTTGCAGGCTAGATGTGCCTCCGGTCTGGGGCTGAATGTGTCTCCAGGAAGCGGGCGCTCAGCTCAGTGTTCTGGCTTGGAAGGATTCTCTCTCACTTAATTGTCTCAGGATTTTTCAAACACTCATCATTGGGAGTGTAATTAACTGCACAACAAAACAATGGTTATAAGGAGGAGGTGCCCTCTGAAAACATCTGATAGTGGGGTGCTAAAAATAAATGGAAGATGACTTGTCTTTAGAATATGGGCAAATTCACAGTGAGAGAAGCCCCTGGGGTCTGTCTTTTGGATCTAAGCTTTTCTGGGAGGGAAAAGATCACTTGATAGAATGGACTGTTTGTTTTGTCTTTGCCCACTTGACTTGCTAAATGACTAACGGTGAGGCTAGTAGCTTCCCCTCTCTTTGTAGGCTCCTCTCAGTCCAAGTCTCTGAATTTTCCAATTCTCAGGCCTCCCCATTTCTTGTCTCCCTCTGCTGGGGTCATATTCAGTTCACTTTCTGTGAGTTTTACTCCCATGAGCAACCTGGGCAGGCGCATCTGAGCAGGATCCTGAAAGGGCCAATTCAGTGGATGGGGAGGAGCCGTTCTGTGCTTAGCTATTGACGACTCTCTGATTTGGTGACTGTAAATCTCCCTGCATAATCGTCTCTCAGAATAAGCCGCACAGGTACAAATGAAAGAGAGAAACAAGTGCAGTTCACTGATCGTCATCTGCAGGAAGATGTGCTGGGTTCTTGGTTATTTTGCCTCCTCATTATCCGTGAATGTCTGGTAAAGCTTGACCATAATGGCACTGAGATGACGATGGAAGGGAGCAGATGGTTCTGTTCTCTGTTATGAAGTGATGTACCACCATTCAGTGAGGTTTGTGCTTTGGGGTGGGGTGGGGCTTAGGTTTGGAAAGGAGAAATACATAAATAATGGCCATTATAAGTGGCCAGTTAGTATTTTGCAATCTGGCCTGCTGTGTTTTTTAAATTTGATGTAAAATTCCCATAATATAAGTTGATCTCACCTTTTCTAAATGTACAATTCATTGGCATTAAGTACATTCACAAGGTGAGGCAACCATCCCCACTGCCAAGGTCCAGAGCGTTTTCTCATCACCTCACAGGGAAACACTGTGCCCATGAGCAGGTGCTGTTCAGTCTCCTCTCCCCCAGCCCCTGACAACACCATCTACTTCTGTCTCTGTGGCTTTATGTGTTCTGAACATTTTATGTAAATGGAATTATATAATATTTGGCTTGCTAGTGTCTCAAAAATGTATTCACTTATTTAATAAGTTCCTCTTCAGTATTCTTTGCATAGCCCAGGGCACAGGGTCTATTTGAGTTACCAAAAAATATGTGTGTACATATATATATATATATATATATATATATATATATACTGTGTATATATGTCTATATATACAGAGGAGAGAGAGAGAGATAGAGAGATAGATAGATCTGTCCCACTCTGGGTGGTGCTAACAGTATAATTGGGGAGATCCACCAGGGGCCAGAATGGATCGGTTTTGTCATTTGTTTTCTTTATACTCTTGTCTGGAAGATAAAAATTGATACATGTCAAATGTTCTATTTAGTAGTAAAAGAAAGTTTTAGCTAATACCCCTAGAGAAGTCCTTCTCAATTAAATTTGCTAGCATTTGCAAGCATTAGACTAAATAACTAAGGTATGAGTAGTGGAAAATCATGAACATTTTTATGTCTCTGAAGGAAATTAAGCCAATGCTCAGCCCTTGCACAGTAGAGACAGACTTTCTTAGTCAGTACCATCCTTAGCATTCAAAACCAATCTAAAAACTGTGGAATGACCCAGGTACTTAGGGCTTAAACCCTGTCTTGGAAGCGTTTAGCTATTCTTGTATGAAAAATTATTTTATCATAAGATTAATCCAAAATTTAAGATGAATTTACTATATGAGAAGCTAAGATCACATTCATGACCATGTCTAGGGGCAAAGAAACATTGAGAGAAAGGACAGGTTTAAAATAGGAAAACAACAAAAAATAGTCACTAAAAAGGATATTTGAAATCATTTTTTATCCTCCTTTATCTCTCCATTTATGCCAGCATCTTATAATCCTTTTATTTTGTAAATGCTGTAGTGTACATGATTAAATGTAATCACAGTATGTTGGTTTTAATTTCTTAGAACCACGTTTAAAGGCAGGCCAGGTAGAGAAGCAATATCATTAATGGCGGCAGTGATGTAAGTCCCAGATCCTGCTGTTGCATAATCCTTTCCTGCAGGTGCGATACTAAAGGAAGATGCACCATCATTATTTTTTAGTGGCTATCATATTAAAAAAAAATGAGTACCTGCACCTGAAGCCATTTTTAAGGCTCAGAGGATTATGTTGAATCCATAACAATCCACAGTTATCTCTGGAGATCACTGAAATGAGCAAGGGCCCAGGCCTGCCCGGATGTTGTGAGAGCTGGTTTTTCCTTTCTCAGGAATCTCTTGCCCACTTGATTTCCAATTTATGGGATTAGAACCCAAACTTCTCATTCATCAGTAAATAGTCATTTAAATCTTTATTTATTTTTTTAAACTCATCAAAGAGTGGAAAGGAACGCCTGCTGTTTAATGCATACCTTTAGCAAGTAGAGAAGAAAGCTTGGTGGCCTTTGGCCTGGTTGTTTACATTCTTTAACAAAGGAAAGATTGGATCATTTCAAGTGTTGTGTGACCTGTTTTCCGCAGTGGGATCTCCACCCCAGCAGCGTCGATGTCGCCTGGGTATTTGGCCCTTGCCTTTGACCAGGGATAGGCTTGGCAATCTGTATTTTCATAAGCCCTCCAGATAATTTTAAAGCATGTCAAAATTTGAGAACCAGTATTTTAAGTTAATTTGGATTTTCGAAAGTATTTGTTTCTTTTGAGTGTACATTCAAATGGGGTTGGCTGGTCACGAAGTTGTGCCATATCACCTCAATCTAATTCCAGAACATTTCATCACCCTGGTGGGAAGCCCCCCTACCTGAGCAGTCATTCTGGGGCAGCCACTCATCTGCTCTCTGTCTCCATAGATTTTCCTATTCTGGACATGGCATATAAATGGAATATGTGGTATTCCACGGCCAGCTTCTTCTACTCAGTGTAATGTCTCCAAGGTCCGTCCATGTGAGTCATGGCCGAATGCCACTCCACGGCATTCACATTTCTTTCATCCTTTCATCACTTGATGGTCACTTGGGGTTTTTCATTTTTGGCTGCTCTGAATGATGCTGCTGTGAACACTCAACAACACTCTTTGTGAGGGTGCAGATTCTGCTTTCACTGGCTCTAGGGCAGGGTCCCTAGTGTAGGGATTGTCCAGATGCTCCGTCAGGTGATTCTAATGTGCAGTCAGGGCTGAGAACCTCTGGCTTAGAACCTTAGCACTAGATGTGAGCTCCATGGACCTTCGGCCCAGCATGGCCAGGGAACTGACTAGAAATACGGGTCCCTGTGCCCCACCCAGGCCCACTGAGTCAGAGGTCAGAGTCCAGCAGGACCTCCAGGTGACATGTGTGCTCATTGAAGTGTGAGAGGCACAGACAGGTTCTGGGAGCTACTCGGGGTCCTTGTCCACCAAGTGTAACCTTGTTCCTCTGACAAAATGCACACCAAACTCTGAACAGAGAACTTATTGGGGACCACCTTTATCCCCTGCACACGTGCCACGCAAAACTGGGGGCAGAGAGTCTCATTTGAGCCTCCACCATGTCCCCAGTTCCCAACACAGTGCACAGCACAAGCAGGTGTGGGATAGAGTTGTCACATGGAAACACCAGCGACCAAAGAGCCCTTCTGTATGTCCAGTGTGCTCTCAGGGGACCAGCACCCAGAATCCATAAGCTCCACCAGCAGCAGCTGTGTGATCTCAGTGTTAATCACCCCTCTGAGCCTCTGTTTTTTAGTCCTTAAAACAGGGTTGGGCATATGACAAATCACAGGCTGCATGAAGGTCAGATTAAGTGGTTAATGAGACTGAGTGGTGTCCCCACCCCATCCCAAGTAAAAAGATCGGTCTCTGAGTTAAACTCTAAAATAACCTCAGAAAGAATCTGCATACATCTGCGATGCTACTTTGCTCAGAAGAAAGAGACCCAGGCCTGAGTCTCTAGAATGAAGGAATCAACCTGGCTCGGAACAGCGAGGACGTCTGCAGAGGGGCTTGATGGTCAGGGAGGAGAGAGGGACGGATAGAGTGAGCCTGGCCAGGGCTCACGCGCTGGCGTGTCCCTCTCCCCCAGCTGAACTGGGCGCAAGTGTGTTTTTTTGTTTGGCGCTACAGTATCTTTAAAAACAAAATTTGCTGCAACATTTGAAATTCACAGGATTTTACTTTGTCAGTGAAAAATTCTCAACCTAAAGAAAGTTTTAAAGAATTTATCATGAACCAAGGTTTTGGAAGCTAGTCCCAGAAGCAAAATCTCAAGGGACTGAGATAATGCTCCAGAGAACAGCAGTTTTCAGTATATTTTCTATATTAGAATCAAAGGGGACGACATAGGAAAGGTTAACACAAAACCCATTGGTGGCAGATTAAGGAGGTGGGAGAAAGCAAAGCAGGGAAATCACTAGGACTGGATAAAAAGTAAAATTGAGGGACACATGTTTATTTGACATGGGTGGGTGCAGGACAGTGAACATTTCACATACGTGGTTTACAGGGGTATGTGGGGAAGAATGATAATGAAGGATATTGGGCTTACCCCTTACTGGGTGTTTACCTTTGGAAGTCTGGAGAAGAGATGGCTCTGACATTTTAAGTATGTTATTCTCGATGTGCAAACACAATGGGCAGGGCTTGCTGAGATGGAGATCAACCCATCATCTAGGCCTTAGCATCTGCCCTCCCTCCATAACCTGTTCACTTAGAAATTTCATATAATCAGATCATTCCACGTGGTCACTTTCAGTCATTGAGTTGTCATGCTTGCCAAGGTAGCTCTTTTTTTTTTGTTCACAACTTCTAAGTCCAGTCTCCTTGATTTTCTGTAAAAGCTGGTGCCTTTGGCCTGCTTTTCTTTCTTTTTTTTTTTTTTTTTTTTTAGATTTTATTTATTTATCTTTAGAGGGGAAGGGAAGGAGAGAGGGAGAGAAACATCAATGTATGGTTGCCTTTTGTGTGTCCCCTGCTGGGAACTGGCCTGCAGGGAACCAGTCTGCAACCCAGGCATGTGCCCTGACTGGGGATCGAACCTCAATTGTCTAGTTCGCAGGCCCGAGCTCAATCCACTGAGCTACACCAGCCAGGGTGGCCTGCTTTTCTGTGTGGCAGCTTCAGGCTGGAGCTGCGTGGTGGCTGACCCCTTCACCGGGTCCAGGGCTCTATGCTGCTTCCCCGGCCTCTTCCCCAGCCCGGTTACTCTTGATCAGGTTTGCCTGGCTCTGTAGGCATCTGAGTTTGCTGTCCCTATAGTGGGGCTGGCGGTGGGGTGGGGAAGAGGACATTAAATAGATGACAGCTCTAGTTAAGGATACATTGGCTTTCTGGCCTCATCACAAAGTCGTTTTGAGATTGATTAATGCGAGTCTGTGCCCTGCGGACTAGTCCCCGTACGTGGATTGAGTCCCTTTCCTGACGTTTCCCACAGAACTTGGGAAGCATGTACCGGACGGAGGTGCGGGTGATGGTGATAGTGACTGTGCTTGGCATCATGTGGGAGGGACTTCCCGCCAGGACCAGTGGCTATTGGCCCTTCGGCTTTCCTTCCTCCTTCTCATGCTTATTTGAAAAGGGCCCATCACCCAGGTTTGGAAGCTGACACGGACACTTCGGATTTCCTGAATTCAGAGGGCCCCTCACTTTCCCTCTGCTTGCCCTCCTCGGGGGCTTGGCAAGTCAGCGACTCCTGGGAGCTGGGGAGCGCTCTGGTGATTCAGGTGGATAAAGCACACACAGTCCTTCCACCTCTCCCAGGCCTTTGTCAGAACCTAGGGTCTTTCTCCTTTTGTATTGCAGGTACCTCCTGTACCTGCAGATTAAGAGAGATATTTTCCATGGTCGCCTGCTCTGCTCCTTCTCCGACGCTGCCTACCTGGGTGCCTGTATTGTGCAAGGTGAGTTGAACTGGGCTCTAGAGCTTTGGCTGCTCTGAGCTCTTCTCCTACCCTACCTGTACCCACCCTCCTGTGCCCGTCCACCCATGTCCATGGTGTGGGGCCTGGCGGGTCTGGGTCCTCAGCAACAGACCCCTGGTTATCTTCCCTCACAAGCCCCTGGGGTCCTGGGGGGAAACTGGGCTGCAGTGGTCACAGGGCCTCTGCAAAAACAAAGGGCTCTCAGAGACCCGTGGTAGAGCTCAGAATGCCCAAATTTACGAGAAGCTCTGAAGGGCAGTGGGGTCTTCCGTGCTTGGAGCTCCCACCGCCAGCTGTGGGGCCTAATGAGCACACTGAGGGGGGCACTATGTCCAGGAAGGCAGTTGTAAATTCAAACATTTGAATGAAATGTCAAAACACACACACACATTTATTCATGTGGGTACATGTACACTGCATCTAATTCTTCAGCTTCTCTAGTCACGTAGGGTGGTAAGAAAAGCATTAGGCTCACAGTCTGTTGTACGACTCAGGTGTTCTGTTCCCGTGGGGTCAGTCGGGAGGCAGCTGGCACAGGGGATGTTTAGAAGGACCCAGGTGATGCAGCCATTTGAGCATGAATGCTAATGACATGTTTATGGGAGAAGAAGAGGGAAGGGAGGGGAGGTGGGAGAAAAGAGAGAGAGAGAGAGAAACAAGAACCAAGTGAGCATGTCACCCTTATAAAGGATCTGGAATAATGACAGTTATCTGCTGATGACAATTCCAAGCTTCATTCACAGCTTGGGGGAGAGAGAGAGAGACAGACAGACAGACAGACAGACAGACAGACTGAGACCCCTCATTGTCTGGGGGGTGTGCATAGGCACACCCGTCCCTATGGATGCTCTGTGCTGTGAGAGAATTCCGCAGTGAACCCTGTTTCCAGGTGTGTGCTCTCTGAGAATTCTGAAGAATGTGTCTCTGTTGATTTCCCCCTTCCCCTGGGAGCACACTAGTGCTGCATAGCCGATTTTAGCAGAGGTGTTGAAACCCTTGGAGATATTCATGTTTAAAGTCAGAACAATAGTGATACCGTGATGGGAAAGGTCCTTCCAACTGTCTGGAGGTGGGGCATGTGCTTCTAAAAGCAGCTTCTCTTATATCATCAGAGCTAAGGGAGGTAGAAAGTTCGTGCCCACCTTTTCCCGTGAAGACAGCAAGTTCCTCCTAGTCAGGGAGTACCGTCTTTGTAGGGAAAAGTGGATCGATGCTAATCGAAGCAGCCAGACCACATGTGAGGATTTCAAAACACATTTAGGCATTAGTGAGTAATGGTCAATTCTCCAAGGGCAAGCTCAACATGGATCTGTAATAGGAAACTTTTCATTCTGTTTTATGTCTGAAATAAAGCCACAGAGGCTCTGTCCAGAGGTCCTGATGATGGGGCCCCTATGTGAGGCCTGGTTGCTGTTCTCACTGACCACACACACAGACATTGTGTGGAGAGTAGAGTTGCAAACGGACTAGTGACCTAAAAAGGCCCTTTCAGCTCAAAAACGCAGTGGTGTCCATGGGCCATTTGCAGCAAATCCAGTCAAAGCAATTCATGAAGTTCTCTGATGCTGAGGCGAATCATCAGCAGCTCTAGAGATCATTACAAATGCAGATAGGAGATCATTACAGATGCAGATAAAGATCTGCTTTGTAGGAAGTGCTCTTTGAAGGAGCTTTGTCAGCTTCCCAATATTCTGAGTGCATAAAAAAACAGGCAGCCGCCTCGGGTTTTGCCAGTTGTACACGCTGAACACACGGGCATATTCAGCACATGCCACGCCTTTTCTTTCATAAATACAAATTGCAACACAAACACATAGGACCCTTGGCCTTTCTTTATCCTTTCTCAGTAAAAATAGCTTTTCTGTTCTTTCTATGGAAGAGCAACAGGCTGGGATTCTTGTTCTCATCTCCTTTGCCTTTTGTACTCAACCCCTGTAGCTCCCTGGCTCCTACCAGATGTTCAGAACTCAGTTCAGAGGTCGCGTCCTCTGAGAAGTCTTCCTGGACTACTAAAGTAGCCTCCCTCCTGCACGTTATCACACTGCTCTTTCACACAACTATTTTGTTGTCTTTTAAGCACTTAGGTCTGAAATGACTTTGTTTTTTGGGGGGGTTATTCATCCTCTGTCCCACCCCCACCATGTAGAACCTAAATTTCATGGAAAGTGGGTCTCTGGGTGGCTCATTTCACTGTAATACCCCTGTGTTGGGTATAAGTTCTCCAGTAAATATGTTAAGTGAACCAGGACACTTGCCTAATAATTGCACCAATGTATGCTTTATTCCTCTGTGTGGGAGAAAGTGGCTGGTTCACTACCTCATTCATTTGTTGTGCAAGCATTTATTGAACATCTGCACTGTAAAGTCCCTGGGGGTGGGGTGCGGGAGACAGACAAGAAAATAGGCATTGAGACATGTGCTAAGGGCTACATAGAGAGACCTTCCCCCTCCCCATATGATCTCCAGAGGGCCCCTGGTCCAGCAAGGGCAGTCAGGGAAGGCTCCTGAAGGAGTTGGCCTTGAAGCCATCACATTCTTTATCTCAAGTTCTTTTGCAACAAGTCTGCGCCACAGCAGGGGAAATGCCATTGCCAGGCTTGCCCTTTCTGTTTGCCATCACTCGATGGCACTCATCCATTCGCTTTAACTCTTGGGGTTAATTCCTGACAGTTAATGCTCTTAAAAATGTGCTAGGACTCATTTCCCCTCACCAGCCATCCAGCATGTTGTCGGTTGTTTGTCACAACTTGACCCTCAGTGTCATGTGTGGAAAAGAACCACAAGCCTCTTACCCAGCTCCTTTTGGTAAGGAAAACAAAATTTGAATACTTAAGAAATCCTCAATCATATATAAACTGCCTTTTGCTTCAGGTGAAGTCAGATTGAAAGACAAGATATTGGGAATAAGAAATTGGGAAGCAGGGCCTGTGATGGGGGAGGTGTTGACATTTACCTGGTCAGCTGCCTTGTGAAGGTTCCAGGGCATTTCTTCTCTTTGTTTTCAGACATATTCCAGGCTACTCATTTGCAGTGTTGGGCAGTACCACCAGTCCATTTGTTCCTCCCAAGTTTTTCTGTAAAGATAAGGGCTCCCCACAAACCAAGCACTCCCTCACCAAGCACTATGCAAGCTAACATTTGCAGTGAAGATGACCCAGTCATATCAGTGGTCCTCTCTGTGGGACATGGAAGCCTTGGCTTGTACCATCTCCTAAGTTGTAGGTCCATAGCCAGCTCACAGTGTGTGTGTGTGTGTGTGTGTGTGTATGTGTGGGTGTATTATGTGTATTTCTTTTGAAACTTGAGTTAATTCTCTGCTTATGACCTGTTCTTATCATTGATCCCTTTGGGACAATTGATGGATTGAGGGATTTCCCCGTTGTCATTATTCTCCGTTTCTGTTCCTAAAGGCAACAACTGGGTTTGCACAGATATTTGATTTTGCACACAGCCTTATAAAATGATTAGTGTTGCTTAGTGTACATATACTTTTACATTTTATAAAATAAATGAGGCTGTAGAACTCATTTCTTTTTATGCTCAGAACACTGGGGCAATGCGTACACCCAGATGTACACATTGCTGGGTGTACATCTATCTATTCTGTTGCTTTTAATTGCCACAGAGTATCCATATATATCACTCCCACTGAACGTGACACTCAAGTTGCTTTCATGTTCTTTTTCACACCCAGAGGTTTTCTAGACTACACGCTCAAAAATGGGTTTGCTGGGTCATAAATTTGACAAAATACTCCTGTTTTCTATAAAAGCTATATGCATCAAGAATCCTCCAGAAATATGCAAATATTTCCATTTCCTTGCGTTGTTGCCAACACACAAAATCACCCGACTTCCTCAACTTTTTGTTCATTTCATGGGGCTAGTTGCTGTGGTTTGCAAAGCTCTGATTATGGACGAGTCTGATTATCTCTCCGTACACTAGCCCTTTGGGTTTCCTCTTTTGTGAACTGGCTGTTCATATCCTTTGACCAATTTCCTGTTGGTCTTCCTACCAATTTCCGTATTGATTTGTAAGGATTTCTTGTTTATTCTAGCTGTTAGCCCTTGTTAGCTTTAAATTTTGCAAATATGTTCTTTGAACTTGTCATTTATTATTTTGACTGTGATGTTCTTTAATGAATGGAAATATTTAAATTTTGATATGGTCAAATTAATCAATTTCCCTCCTATGGGTGTTGGGAACATGGGTCTTATTTTAAAAGTTCTTCCTCATGCATTATACATTTTAGGTTGTTTTAAGAAATTTGTAATTTGAATTCTGTTAAGAAGCTTTATGGAGCTTAGCTTTCTTCCCTTACCTTTCTTATCCTTCTACAGTAATTAGATAACTCAACAACGAAGGGACAGCGGGTACAAATTACAGGGTTGTATGTGATTTTGCAGATGTGCTCCAGGCATCTTGATTTTTAAAAAATCTATTTCAAAGTCGTGTTAGTGATCAAATTCTTTGAATACCATTTTCCCACCATCTTTGATCTGCTTTCTGGACCCTTTCTGCCTGAGCTACTTGCCTCTTCCCAGCTCGTTTTCCTTACCATGCTCAGGAATTCCAGTGGAATGTATTCTGACCGCCAGAGCATCGCCTTTGCTTCTCCAGGCTGTGGTCCTTGCACATCTAGGTCCAACCTCTCCTAGAGCCTCCGGGTGCTCAGAGAGGTGCATGCATTTCTTTTTTATACTTTAAGATCCTCTGGAGGTGCCCTCCATTAGAATCCAGCAACAGCCTTCATTTGGTGTGCTTGTCCATACTTGGACACACACTCTTTAACTTGAGAGCAATCCATTTATTTTTAAGTGCAATCCTCTCAGGTGCCTTTATGTTGTGATTTTTCATTGAGTAAGCCACACCTACAGAAATCTCAGAGTAGGCGGCTCCAGCCAGGGAACTCCTAGACTCAGAGAAAATTAGCTGTGAAAGAAACCGTGAGGGACGTTCAGTGGTTTCCTCTTGGAGGTGGTGTGTACCACCTCCTGTCCTGGGGGGCATTTGGAAATATTGGGGGAAGCATTTCTGGTCATCACAATGACCAGGCCTGCCACTAGCACTTAGTATCTGAAGGCTAGGCACACTGAATGCCCTAGTACGTCTTAGAAGGCCTGAAACAAGAAAGAATTATTTGGCCCTAATAGTGCCCCATGGAAAAATAATGATGGAAATCCCTTTTATTGTATAGATAAAGAAATGAGACTCAGGGAGGTTGGCAAGTGCCCAAGCTCACACAGTTAGATGTGAACTTGAACATAAGCTTTTAGACTCTCAGGCTGTGGTCTTCCCGTGGATACAAGAACATTTCCTTGGGTGAGCTTCTTCTGTGCTCTTCTTTTGGGTGGCAGGAGCCATTCCATGCACACCCTGTTGTTGTTTTTTAATCTTTCTTTCTCTCTCTCTTTATTTTTCACTGTTTGTAGCTGAGCTTGGTGATTACGATCCTGATGAGCATCCCGAGAATTACGTCAGTGAGTTTGAGATCTTCCCTAAGCAGTCACAGAAGCTGGAAAGAAAAATAGCAGAAATTCATAAAAACGAACTCAGGTAACAGGGGTAGAGCTTTGTAAGCGCGGTAGAGGTGTGAAATCATTCTTCCGGTGGGGAATGCGGAAACCGTGTGGCGAAGGGGGGGTGTTTGTGAAATAGGGACAGACTGTTTCGGGTGTCAGAGCCGTATTTCTGGGCCCTGTCGAGATCTTCCATCAGTAACAATGCCAACAGCGGGGGGACTCCTGGAAGGTTGTTTATGAATCATCAGCAGTTATTAGAGCTGTATATTTTCTTGGGGGTTTTAACCACCCTCAGTTTCTGAATGTGAGATGCAGGGTAAATAAGTAATCCCTTCTGTTCTGAAGTTTACACCACCTCTTCCTCTCCTGTGGCCATTGCTGGGGGCTTTGACTCCAAGGAGGGTGGAAGCCCCAGACAAGGTTTCCATTGCTGAGCTGCTTTCAGGGTGACGGACTCAGCACCTTCTCCTCTTTTTCTTGTCTGCGATGCTTCAGGACAATTGCTGACGAGAGTACTAATAGCAGGAGTAGCAAAATCACATACAGTATCCACTGTGTCCGAGACACTCTTTTAATTGTTCATGTTGACTCATTTAATCTTCACAACAACCTGGGAGATAGGTGCTATGGTTATTCCCATTTTACAGACGAGGAGCTGAGGCACAGAGAAATTAAGCATCTTACTCAAAATTATACAGCTTGCAAGTGACAGAGGCAGGATTGGAATCCAGGTGACCTGGCTCCAGAGTCTGTGCCCTTAAGCAGTGTGTGGCACTCCCACTTTGCATGGTCTACCCGGGATAAAATGAGGCACAAGTAGGAATCATCGACAGTTTGGAATTCAGGTAACTCAGGTCTTCCAGCCTGTAACTAGAATTCGGATCTGTGCAAATCACAGAAACATTCATTATGATAAACACAGCAAGTTTGGGCTGTGTTATGACAACTGTTGATGAAGAACTGAGGGAGCTGAGAGACTTCTACCTTCTGGGCCTCTGGCAATTATAAAAAAAAATTAGTGTCACTGGTTTATGAATTCTGGAACAAATTACTGTCCCCTTGTGAGAGAGTGCTAGAACTCCCTACTTTATGCAGGCACTCCCCCTTCTGGTGAGTCTGAGAAGAGCACACACATGGGCATTTAAGTTAGCAATATATTTCAGCTAGGAAAAACGTGACCTTTGTTCTTAAAGATGATTAGACATCAACAAGTTATACCAGTTGCAGAAAGGAACATACCATCTCAATGGGTAATTTTAGAGGATTGTCTCCTCATGAAAAGCTTTGTTGACAACATATGACACTCCAACTACTCTTTTTTCCATTTGGGGGACAAGCATGCTCAAGGTTAAAATGAAGTTCCAATGTCCACTTGAGGGGTATGTGGATCAGCAGGGTCTGGAGAGCACAGGGTGAGACCCTTTAGGCAAAGGAGTCACATCCAATGTGTGGATTGAGGGGAAACTGGAATGGAAAGGTCTGTTGTGATCAGAATTTGCAAAGCCTCCAATGCTCAGAACATGTGATAATAATAAACATTTATTGTGCACTTACTGGATGACAAAACCCCATGCTATGAGTCTTATGTGTATTGTCCCACTCAGGCTTCCCCAGCTCTATGGGGTAGGCGCTACTCTTTCCGGTCCAAGGTGAAGGGACCTCAACCTGGGGTGTCTAAGGGCCTCGCCTTGCTGGCAGCAGACTCAGGACTTGAGCCTTGGTCTTATCTGAAACTAAGATACTTGCTCTTATCCACTGTGCTGACAGCTGTAAGGCAATCGGGTTGGTTTTCCCCAGCGATCACCATGGCCAAGGCATCAGAGGGTGGAGACCAGCAGTGGGAGGACCAGGTAGTTTCTGCTGTGCAGACAAGAAATGCTGTGGGCCTGACCAAAAGCAAGAGTAGAGAACTCTGAGGAAAGAGTCTTGAGGGACATTGCTGCAGGGCTCAGTGACCCACTGGACTGAATGAGTGAATCAAGATTCCTGATGGTTATTTATAACCAGAAAGCTGTAGATCAGCCCTGGTGCCGCCACCTGAAATTGTTGATGCACAGCAAAAGTGGTCATCATGCACCTGAGGAACAGAGGGGGTCACCAGTCAAACATGATTTAATAGATCCCAGAAGTGAAGGCCGTGACTTGATTAAAACTGCTGTTCTGTGTCTATCACCACATGTCTGTAACATCCGAATGTGCACCCTTAGAAGGAAGTCGAGTTGTGTGTCAGAAGGACGAAGCAGCTAGAATCATGTGACACTGCCAGGGGAACTGCAGCCAGTATTTCCCTACGTACTTTTGCTAAACCACAAATAGTCGTGTGTTTCCTGCAGCATCAGTGCAGCCGAGAGAGATTTTAGGTTTGGGTGGGAAGATAAGAGCAGAGCGAGCTGAAGTGTGGCTGGGGGTGGTGGGTGCTTTCCAGAATCAGTTGGAACCCTGTCATAGAGACTCCGGTTACTCCGGGGGTTCTGTGAGCCCTTTGCACACAGGTAATGAAAGTGTTGACCTTGTATGGGAATTGAATTGCTCTACAAACATGACAATGTCAGGAAGGAGTAGTAAATGGAAGAGATCATTGCGAGAAGCTCTGTCTAGGAGTTACCATCTTACTCTCCCAGGTTGTCACAGTACCCATGACCCTCCCACACAGCAAACGGCTAATGTGTGATCATTGGTCTGTTGTTAAGGAAACTTCCTGGGAGAATTCCAGTTGGCCTGTGTTAGGGTTTGAGTGGCCCCTGAAAATAACCTCCTGCTTTCTGCATAATTTCTGAACCAGCTGGGAAAGAAAACAAGAGATGGTGATAGAGAAACTCAGACATTTGTGGAAATGGTGACAATGATTTGCAGTGAGATAGACATTTTTACCTGTGGGGTTTGAGAACCTTCTCCAGCCTTTTTTATTGATTAGAATCAGTCTCCTTCTGTGCTCACTGAGGAGGGGACAAAAGCTGTGACTCTTGGGAGAATTTAATCAGGGAGAAAGGAGGACCCTCTCCCTTCTGAGGAGGCTACCTACTGCTTGAAATTAGAACTAACATGGCTTGATAGACAGGCACAAGTAAGAGACATTTTAGGAGAAGAAAGTGTGAAAAAGAGACTCCTTGGAATTTTTAGGTGCTTGAAAATAGAAGATGAAGATTTTAATAAGAGTTTCCATGAACTAAGTGTTCAGACTTCTTTTATTTGTGAGTGAAGATTGAAATTCATGGCCGGGTCAATGTTGCTTCCTTAAATGTGCCACTCTTTGACTGAACTGAGGGGAGGGGAGGGAAGGGAGAAGTTACAGTTTCGCAAATGTAATAACATAGTTTATTGATCATCTCTGTGTCCGTCAAGAAAAGCTAGATTTTGCTGAAGAACAACCCCAAAATCTCCATGGTTTAGAATAGAGGCTTATTTTTTACTCTGGGGTGTGTCCACCACATGTCAGTGGAGAAGGAGGGGGTGAGGAGGGCTCTGCTCATCATGGTCACTAGGGGCAACCCCAAGCTTGAATTTGCCAGTAGTTGAGTCAAAGGAAAGAGAGAGATCTGGACGATGTTGCTTCAGCTTGGAAATGATACATGTTGCTGTGGCCATAACTGGTCCCATGTTAGGGTCACAGCACAAGGAACTGAAATGCTATGAGGTGTCCAGAAGGGGCAAACTGGAAACAGCAGGTGAATAGCTCTTAATAGCCTTCACAGTATCGTTAACTAGTAAGTTTTAACAATGGACTAATTTTTAGAGCAGTTTTAGATTCATAGCAAAATTCAGTGGAAGGCACAGAGATTTCCCCTATACCCTCTGTGAAGCCGCCCCCAGTATCAATGTTCCCCCACGGAAGTGGTACATTTGTTGTGTTTGATGAACCTGCATGGAGGACACATCATCATCACCCAGAGCCCATAGCTTACCTTAGGGTTCACTCTTGATGTTGTATATTCTGTGGATTTGGACAATAATATCCACAAGTATAGTATCATACAGAATACTTTCACTGCACTAAAAATCTCTGTTCTGCCTGTTCATCCCTCCCCCACAAAACCCCTGGAAGTCACTGATTTTTTTAACTTTATCTATAATTTTGACTTTTCCAGAATGTCATATAGTTGGGTCCATACAGCATGCGACCTTTTCAGATTGGCTTCTTTCACTTTGTAATATGCATTTAAATTTCCAATAACATGTCTTTTCATTGATAGTTCATTTTATTGATGAATAATATTCCATTGCCTGGAGGTACCACAGTCTATCCATTCGCCATACTGAAGGATGTTTTGGTTACTTCAAAATTCTGTCAATTATCCATGAAACTGCAAACTGCTATAAACATTCACATGCAGGACTTTGTGTGGGCATATGTTTTCCACTGCTTTGTGTAAATACCAAGGAGAGCGATTTCTGGATTATATGGTTAGAATATACTTAGTTTTGTAAGAAACTACCAAACTGTCTTAGAAGGAAGCTGCACCATTTTGCATTCTCAGCAACAGTGAATGAGAGTTTCTGTTGCTCCACAACAATGAATGAGAGTGTTTGGTGTTTTCAGTGCTCTGAATTTTGACCGTTCTAATAGGGGTATAGATAATAGAGTATTATTTAGAAAGACTTTATAGAGGCAGCTTTGGGCCTCTTCATATCCTGTGAGCCAGAGGATGAGGGGATGTATGATACACATTATTGAATAGATGTCAGTGCTAAAACCTACTGAGGCTGAATAATTCTTCTAGATCAGGAATGGTTAATAATGGGTTTTTTTTGGTGGCAGGGAGGGAGTGGCGCTTTCTGAGCTGTATGATCTCCATTGCAGCTACTCAGCTTAGCTTTTATAGAGCAAAAGAAGACACAGACAACACAAAAGTAACTGGGCTGTGATTCAATAAAAGTTTAAAAAAGATTTTATTTATATATATTTAGAGGGGAAGGGAAAGAGAGAGGGAGAGAAATATCAATGTATGGTTGCCTTTCATGTGTCCCCTGCTGGAAGCTGGCCTGCAACCCAGGCATGTGCCCTGATTGGGAATTGAACCACGGTCCTTTGGTTCG